TTTCCTCTTATTGCTGTTGTGACTTTGGGGAGCACCGTAGGAGCCCTGTGACGGACCTGTGCTCCAAATGGTGGCTTCTGCTGTCTACAGAATATTTCATCTACCCCATGAAACACCCGGGGTTATTTCTGCTGCATTTTCTGCAGGAAAGTGAGCTCACTGCCTGCCTCGCTCTATGAGCCGGATGATCCAAGGAGACCTTTGAGTCTATGTTGTAAGCTGCCCCGAGGCTTCGGCGAATGGGGCGGCATAAAAATGTTTTAATAAATAAATAAATAAATAAATAAATAAATAACTGTACCTGAAAAATGGGAGCCATTTCATTTTTAATCCCCTCTCCATTGTCCTCCTTCCTTCTGCTCTTCTCCCTTAGAGGAGCCGTCCTCAGCCTGGTCCCGTCTAGATGCTAGAGGGGACCTGTGCAGCTCACAACATCCCCAGTTGGCAACGCCCATTGTGGAACGCTGCTCAGTCCAGGGACTCACTGGGGAGGCTCCGAGCCTTTTCTGCACAACTCACTGTGCACTCTAGTACGGTTACAGCCTCAGGCCAATTTTCCCCCTGCTTCTGCCCTGCATCTGATTAACACTTACCAATGAAGGGGAAATGAAGGGTTGCACCATGACCTTTCCTCATGCGGAAACTGCTCTGCTCAACAAAGCCAGGGAAGGGATCCATGCTGCATTTTGCCTCTTGTCAGTAGGAAACACAACGGAATATTAGTATGCAACGTTGCATTGGCTACATATTTCCAAGCACTGGATGCAGTCGGGCAGAATTAGGAATAAAGGGGAAGAGGGGGAATCCTTGCGCCACTAACTTCGGAGCTAAGATGCATTTCACCCTAGGCGTCGATTGCGTATGAGCTATTTAGTCATAAAACCAATTCCCCCCCTCCATTAAATGTTGCACACACATAATCTGGAAACAGAATTTGTACTAATAAAGTGTGTTGAACAATTGTTTGGACTAATTTTAGAAGTAGCTGGTCTATAGTTTTGTAAGAGTTGCATGTTCATGTGACTAAGAATGTGCAGAAACGGTAACTACACTTCGCTTCTCTTACGAATTCCAGATACTGACGCTCATATTCCGATGCCTTCCCTGAGAACTTTGCTCTTGCAACTCCATAACCCTACTCCTTCTAAAGGTCTTGCGGACTTTCAAATGAAGCCACCCCTTTCCTTATACCCTGAACTTCCTCTTGCAAGACCATCCATCTGCCTCTTTCTCCTGTCCTTCTAGTGCACCCTTAAAGCCCTCCATTTTCCAGGATGTCTTGGCTCTTCCAAAGATACAGAATGGAGCTGAGCTCCTTTTCCAGCTTAGCTTCAGCTCCTTCTGTCAGATTTCCAGTCCTCAAGGAAGGGGCATGTTTAGCCTTATGACCCTGATGGTGCTAAATAGAACAATACTTGGCCACCTTTCCAAACAAGCTTGAAAGCCTCTGGTTCAAACCTAGAGGAGCTAATTAAATTTAACATTAACAGCATGGTTTACTGCCTTGTTGGGATTGTTAAAAAAAATCCTTGGCATTAAGAGTTCTGTCTGCAGTCTGGAAAGGCAGCTAAAAATGCCAAGCATGCTGTAAGCAGTCCCACAAATAGAAAACTGCCTCCGTCAGCAGGGTTCTGTGACCCCATAAATGAACGTCCTTCGAAATACCCTGCTGAGCTCTTGTAAACTCCAAGCTGGGGCTTCTTTGATGGAGCTGATCCATCCCTTGGTTGGGTGTGTGTTCATGTGCATGTGCCGCATTAATCTTTCAAGTGCTGGGGACACGCAACCAAATGCTGGTCACAGCAGCTCCATTGACCCCGGAATGGTTGGAGACAGCTGTCCTTCAGCTCAAGCAAGAAGCAAGCCTATGGTCATTTTCATTGTTCACGTGCAGACAGACTTGCCAGGCAAAACTTGTCTATTCGCATAGAAATAGCAATAGAAATCGAAATAATGAACCTGCAGGCCACCGTTTGGTGGCTTTGATATTGCCTTCAACCCCTCCTACAGCAAAACTCTGCAAAAGTTCTAGCCTTTTTGGTTTTCCTTAATTTTCGATCCTATGGCTTCAAAATGGAAGCCCAAGTTGCACCTGGTGCCAAATTCGCCATCTTTTTGGTACCAGGTTAAAACCGCCCACTTTGGAGAGGCCTTTAAAGACCCCCTGGTCATTCAGGGGCCTGAAAGAATGAACCACGTGCTTTTCTTTTATTCTTGGCTGGATCTTTTTATTGTCTTTTGTGCATCTTATGCCATTTAAAATTAATTTTTATTTCTTGTCAATGTCTTCTCTATTGTGTTTTATTGCTTTTATACGTTGTTGTAAGCCACCCAGAGAGCTTCAGCTACAGGAGTATATAAAAGGAAGGAAGGCAGGCCCTTTGGGCAGGTGCCAAATTTTCTTATTAAACTTTTGCAAAGCTTTACATGAAGGGATGGAGCTGTAGAAATACAGGATGGGCTCAAACAACAAATGCATCCAGTGCCAGGCCAAAGCACACACGGCAAGGCTTGTGCATCCTTACTCTTGGGTCACATCCTTCGAACCAAAAACAGCCGCTTCAGCTTGGGTTGGGACAGCAAATGTGCACCTTCTTTCCTTACAGAGTACTGCCCCCTGCTGCTCCAGTCTGTTAAAAAAACAGATTTTTTAATATTTAGGTTGATGTTATGGGTGCTGAGATGAACGAGCTTGGCAAAAACACCCCGCAGAAAAACCGAACATGCAACTCCTTGTGTATACCAAAACTGCTTCAAGGTTAGCCAGAACCTTTCCTTAGTCAAGCTAGGAAAAACGTCTGTACAGAAACCATGTGAAATCTCATCCACAACCCTTCATGCCAGTTTTCGTGCTGTAATTTCATTTTCTGATGCGCAAGAGCTGCTTCAAACATTCCACATCCAGAGAACTCTCCCCATGAACCCGCCAAGGAATAGCTGCCCATTGCAGAAAACGACATACCAGGAATCTTCCACTCCATTTCACGTTCGGTACCCATGAAATCTGTTAACCACTGCCTTATAGGAATGGGCATCGTTCTGAAAACCCACCTCCACTTCCTCTGCAGTTGTGCAGTGCAGGGTAATTGGCAATAACGCATAATGGTGCATAACTCCGTTACAACATGAAGCGTTACAGCTAAGGTCCTCTTGCAAGCTATGATAGCTACCTCCATGGAAACCCATTTCCTAAAGCACACTAAAGAAACAAAACAAAACACTGTCTTGGAAAATCTATACCCATTTTTTGCTGGTACAACCATGCTAAACTACTTTGCCAATTTTCGAACAGGGAATCGAACAAAGCTATTCATGAGATTTATTGTCCCGTAGGAGATGGATTCACATGGGCTAAAGGGAGGGCCTTAGATGTTCTGAGAAGGGAAAGTAGCTCACAAGAAGGCACGAATACTCTTCGTTTTACACCAAATGCCATTTGTCAAGTAAATGCACACATATCTCTTGCCATCATTTAAGGCACTCAAAAGATCAAAGAATTGGGATGATTTTGTCCAGTCCTAGGAGGGTGTGGATCTCAGCTGGGGTCATGCATTTGGCACAATATTTGAAGGTGTTCTGACAATATTTGAAGGTTCTGACACTTCAAAACAAAAGAAAATGGACTTTCCTGTGATTTCACCATTATGCAAAAGGATCAACAAATACAGCCTATTGTGAGCCCACGTGGTACATTGAAGGTCTGACACCTTTGACTGCATCCTGAACTTCATTTTGGCACTAGATTAAGCTGCTGAGTGCAGTCATCCGAGGATGTGGGCAAGGTGCCATTAATACACCGATGGGACATTGCTCTGCTTGTCCATTACAGTTGATTCAGGAGAGGCTCTTCACGACCAGGATCGGTGTTTGAACACAGCTAAAGCAAAGCCAGTAAGCAGAAGCCGAGTCCCAGTTGAGAGAGAGGCTGCGGGTTGGGGGAAACAGGGCGATGGCCACATTGGGAGGGAACTGCTCCCTCCTGGAGGAACGAGGCCAGCCTCTAGGTGCTGCCACTGGACTCAAGTTGACCTCCACGGCTAGGAACATCTAGACAGCAACACCAACGGCTCAGAGAACGCTTGGCTGGTGTGAGCCACACACTGGTAAGCTTGAGACTGGATCATGGCAATGCTTTCTGTGTGGGGCAGCCCTTGAGATTCTACTATCGTAAGCGCAGACTTTTGCGGCTAGCTTAATGATCTTAGTCCCAATGTCATGCCCGACCCATCACGACCCCATGGACAACACTCCTCCAGGCCCTCCTATCCTCCACCATCCCCCGGAGTCCACTCCAGCTCACGCCGACTGCCCCAGTGACTCCATCCAGCCACCTCATCCTCTGCCGCCCCCTTCTCCTTTTGCCGTCAATTGTTCCCAGCATCAGGCTCTTCTCCAGGGAGTCCTTCCTTCTCATTAGGTGGCCAAAGTATTTCAGCTGCAGCTTCAGCACGTGACCTTCCAAAGAGCGGTCAGGGATCTTAGTACCTCACAACTATTATTTTAGTGCCAAGGGACCTGTGTGGACAGCCGGTGCGCTACTTGGCTAAAGATAAGGGGTGCCGTTAGCACACGAAGCCCCGTAGGGCTCAGGGGCGTGTTCTCTTAAGAAAGGACTGCCCCTCTGACACCACAATATTTGGAGAAAGCCGTGTTGTCCACGCTGGAGCCTTTGCATTTTGATTTGGTGGTGACAGCTGGATGAGCTTTCATTGCACCAGGTGCCCACCCTGTGGAACGACCTCTCCTCCAGGGTGCATCAGTCCTCAACAATGAAACAAGCTTACTTTGGCAGTTCCACAATCCCTACCACAATAATGCTCTGTGTTTGTTGCATTCCTTATTAAAATTGTCTCAGGACATGCTCAAGGGGAAACAGTTCATAAACAGGGCTAACAGGAAAAATGGATACATCTCAGGTACAGAATAAGAATTTCCAATTTAAAAGTTAAGAAGGGCCTCCATTAACAAAACTATTTCAAATGACAAAGCAAATTCATAGCTCAATTTTACCAAATATATCCACAGGGCAGTAATTTATTTAATTTCGACACTGAAAATATCATTTTAGCGATGCAAAATCCATTGCCTGCAACAGACCCTTCAAAGTTATAAGCATCATGGAGCTTACATGGTAAAACAAGAAAATGAAGATAATGTCTATTAACCCTGCTCCAAAATAAAAAAAACCCCAGAAGGAAAACTATATAAAAATAGTCCCCATACACATTTTCCCAATAAAATGAAATAGCCTTTTATTAGCACTTGCTTTGCTAGAACATAATTATCTAGAATGATGTACATGAGTAATGAATGTTAACGTTTTAGTCTTTAAGTTCAACGTTGTCTTTGAGCTCTGCAATTTTGGTGCATTCGGTGACATCGCTTGAAGGACCATCTTCAGCAACACTGGTTTCTGCAAGCTCCTTCATGGAGTGCCCATTCAATTCCTCTTCACTTTGTGCAGGTAACTGATGGTTTTCCTTGGTGTCGCATTCCGAGTCCATTTCCACTGGGATTTCCGCTGCAGTGTCTGCTTCCGTTCCGCCTTCCGCATTTTCTTCTTTCCTCTTTGCTTTGAAGACTTCAACACCCATCATCCGTAGGTAATGCAGTCTTTCATTCTTTGGCACAAAGGCACGGATGGAAGTCTTGCCAAGCCAGCCACAGAGCACAATGGGGCACTGAAGGGTATCTGGTTTGCTACAAAAACAGAGAGTATTGAAAATCCATTTACTGACATACAGTTTTCACATGCTACTGCTTTAATTGTAGTTAACAGATTTATTAGTACTTTAAAGCAATATTGCTGATCCGTTTTAAGTGTTCTGCAACGGGGCACTGCATGGCTCTGCAGTACAAACACATTTTGCCATGAATTCCCAGCAACTCCAGTTGCAAACAAACTTCAAGTAGAAGGGATGGAAAAACTCAGCCTGAAACATTTGAGGGCTTCTGAGAGTTAAGAAAAGACATTAGTCTGTTTTATGTGTTTTGTTTTAAAGGCACTTATATCCATTTTATATCTAGATATAAAAACCTCCCTCTCTCCTCTCCCATCTACCTCTGCCCTCCGAGTTCGAACTGAAGGATAAAAAAGTAAATATAACACTTCCCAAAGAGGGAAATAATTCATGACATTTAGAATGACACACAAAGGTACCAGTCATTATGCAGGAAGTGCTAACTTTCTTCCCAGGAAAGGTCGCAGATGAATCCGAAAAAAAATTAAAATTTCACTGACGGGTTTCTTTACTGACACTGATCTAGCGCAACTGGTATGTCTCGTCTCCTTCTGACAACACAATTTAAGAGAAACCACACAACTATTCAGATATCCGGAAGAAACTCGAAGCAGCAGGAGCTTTCACCGAAGTGCAGTCCTCTGCAGATTTAGACAGGAAAACAACCTTAACTCCCAGCATGCTCCAAACAGGCTGCAGGTATCCACAGTTCCAGTGACTTGGCCTAGAAATCGGCAAATCTTTCAAGTTTTGTATCAAAAGCCGATTTTCCTCTTGCAAGGACACGTTAAACACACACATCCTTATTCTGCACCATGTATAAAAATGCCCGTGTGTGAAGTGTGACTACCGAGTTGGTGCAGCAATGACCACAACACGATGAGGGGCCTGATTTAACAACTGTAGCATTTTCAAGTAACTGTTTCTGAAAACACCCTCTTTGGTTTATCAGAATTATATAAAGCAGTAGCGCAATAAGCAGCTGTTAGTGGCTGAGCACTTTAAAAAACAAGGGCACAGGTCTATGGAAGTTAAACACTTAATTTCCATTACTTCGACGGAAGATTTAAGCCCACGCTTAACTTTTCCACCCAAATTAGTCTGCGACGGGACTGTATCCCATCCGGGCTTTGCACACCGTGTCGAGGAAGAGGAGCCCTGCCAAAGCAGGCCTCCGATCCAGAAAAGTTCAGTTTGAAGCAATCAAGATCAATCTTCGCTGTGACGTCTCTCCCTGGCAGTGCACGTGCAGCTGCCTCCACTCCGGGCCTGGCTACTTACGTTGCATCTGGCTTGTACTTCAGGACTATGCTCCCCATGGCTGGAAGAAAGAGCGTTTGGCATCAGCATCACAGCAGTTCTCAGCGCAGAGATACTGTCGCATTACTCCGCATCACTCTGCAGAAGGAAGCCCCCGGCGGTGCTCCGGGCAGCCTGCTGCCCCCCCCCTCCACAGCTGGACAGAGGGCAAATGATCGCGGCAGCCCCACTGCTATCAGCAGCACGGGGCAGCGACTTTCACTGGGACTGCCGGGCCACTGTCCAGGGAAGGGCACGCCCGCGGTTTCCAAAGCGGTGGAAAATGCAGAAAAACGTGCCCATGGAGCTCTGGCCCCGCGAGCCATGCTTCTGACACAAAGATACATGCTCCCCTTGGACTGCAGCCTGGATCACGCCCACTCGGCAAAAGTGGAGAGACTCTTTCTATTTAAATATCAACCCATCCTCGCATTTCTGCTTTCGTCTACGCTCTTCTGGGGTGCCAGTATTCATGAGCTCAGTCGTGCGTCCTACACGCCTGACCATCGAGGCGTCGAAGCTTTTTTCAGCCTGGTGCGTGATTTCTATTTTGGAGCAGCTTTACTGGAAGGCTGGGAAGCTCCCAGGCGTAAATGAGCCAGGAGCCAGCGAGGGCCAAAATACCGGCACAATTATAGCAGGCACTTTGGCTCAGGAGGGGGGCAGGTGGAAGGCTAGGAAACCTTCATAGGACTGGCAGGAGCGGGGAGAAGAGGGGCCCGCCCCACAGCCCTGAGGTCCAGCAGCGCCTGCGTGCCTGTACTGGACAGAAACTCCACTGCACGACTGTGAGGCCAGATCTTTCTTCCAAGTCTACACAAAACAGGATTGGTGGAGATTGTCTTCATTAAGAGCGCGCTTAGGGAGTTGGGGGCCTGAAGAACACAAGGGCTGCGGCTGAGACCACAAGCTCCCGTGCATTTTCCCTGCGCTAGTAAGAATGTGCCTTTTACCAACGTGCTGGGCAGTCTAAGCCAGGCTTCTGCTCTTGAAGTCCCACAGAAGATGGGCCACTTACCTAACCCTTTCACCTGGCTGCAGGCCTCGCTACTGAGCTTGCTCAGGAAAGGGTTCTCCTCCGTTAGCAGTACTTTGACATCTTCAATGGTGGCATTTACGATCCTTGCATGAATAAAGGGGTAGAGGGTATATATCCCCTGCAGAGGAAACAAACACCCATTTTTACAGTGCGGTTCTTGATTTCCTGCCACAACAGGTTTGGCCATTGGACTGGTTCCCCCAGGAAGGTCCCACTAAATCAATGCTTTCAGTACTTTTTTTATAAATTTTTTTAAACAGTACACCTTAAAATATTAATACTGACTTCCTTCTCATCTGTCAGTTCACTGAATAGGCAGCCAACTAGCCGGACTTCACCGGGTCACCTTTCCACCCCAGAAAGTGAAGTGCAAGGAACATTGTCCCCAAACTGGTATTTCTTACCCTTGAACAGGATAATAGAACAGACCCTGCAAAAGGCACCTTTGACAGGTTCCGACACAGACTCTTCCTGAAAGGCTTTTGCATAAGCTTGTTGCACCAAGCACATTTGCAGAGATAGAAAGTTCCTGGAGTTCAGACGCAGGACTTGAGATTCTCCACTGGCACACGTGGTGGTGTAACAGCGATGGCCACAAGCCCGTGAAAAGCAACAGATGCTTTCCTTGCCACCTTACAGAAGCAAAGCTCACCTCTGTCCCAGAGAGGGAGGGATTCTTGTTTTGCAACTTATCACAGGACTCTCCCCTGGAAGTTGCTTTGCGGAAGGCTGACAACGTTCAGGCCAGCGGCCGCATCCTGCAAAACTGCAGTGTCTTCCCTGGCCTCTCATGGTGCCCTTTTTAATGTTAGCATCCATTCTTCTATTTCCGAACAAGCCAGTCTGCTCTGAAAGTCACCCTTCTTCTCTTGAAGGAATTCCAGAGGGAAAACTCGAGGAGGAAGCTGCTGAACAGGTTTTATCAGCATGTCTGCCTCTGTCCCTTTAGATCAATGGCTCGGGGGACAAGGGTTTTAAGTCCTCTATAGATGTTTAATAGCCCTTATTTTTTACACACACACACACACACACACACACACACACACACACACAGTGATTTAGTCCTCTATAGATGTTTAATAGTCTATATATATATATATTGCAATTTATATCCTGCCTTTTTCCTACGAAGGACTCAAGGCAGCTTACATCATTCTCCTCCTGCATCTTATCCCCACAACAACCACCCTGTGAGGTAGGTTGGGCTGAGAGTCTGTGACTGGCCCAAAGTCACCCAGTGGGCTCCATGGCCGAGCGGGGACTGGAACCCGGATCGCCCGAGTCCCAGTCCCGTGCTCCTAACCACCACACCACACTGGCTCTCCACTTTTCAACAGCAGAGTGATGGACAGGGCAGAAGCTGGAATTAGGATGCTTTTGTTAATGGCATATTGACTCTTCTGCAGTCTGGTGGTTGTACAATTTTCTCTATTCCTACTTGTGAGAAGGCTTCTGCCACAATTAATCTGCAGCTCTTACACAAACAAACATTCATATTTCAAAGCATAGCAGATGGGGGGGGGCATACACCTTCATTTTAAGGGGAGCACTTTTATTATTACCTCTTGTGCTAATCTGAATGCACAGCCAAATTGCTCTCCGTCGTTACTGCGGCACCAAACCTTTATTCCCGTGTTAATAACCTAAAAATAGATTTAGGGAAACAATGCATATAAATATATTTAAACATCCTGAACCTGAGTCATGAGTTGCAGCAGCTGGACATGTGTGAGCTTTTGTTCCAGTACAGATGGCAGGAACACTCTCCGAGGACAAGGTGCTATCTATTAATATTCTTAGCAAACAGTTCACCTTGAACATCTACTCCTTGCAAATGTTCTGAAACACTAAAAAGGGTACGATTCCCTTTGAGGAACCCAGGTGGGTCTGATGAACTTAGACTCTCATGAGGAGAGACTGAGAGAACCGGGCATGTTCAGCTTTGAGAAGACTGAGGAGGACATGATGTCCCTCTAAAAGGACCTCCAAGGCTGCCACAAGGTCAAGATCTCTTCTCACTGATGCCAGAGAGTGGGACACGGAAGAATCAGCTCAAGTTGTGACTACCCAGGTTCAGGCTGGACATCAGGAAAAGCTTCCTCACGGTCAGAGCAATACGGCAGTGGGACCCGCTGCCTGGAGAGGAGGTGGGCTCTCCCACACTGGAGACATTCAAGGAGAAACTGGGCAGCCCTGAGTGGGGTGGTGTGACTTGGTGTCCTGCACCAGCAGGGGGTTGTACTTGATGGCCTCCTGGCCCCTTCCAACTCTACTGTTCTATGATTCTTAAGCTGGGGAGCTCAGATTTTGGAAGCCACTGAGAGACCAGGGAAAAGCATGTTTCTAAGAGGTTGCTGGGGGAAAGAAGCATCCGGGCTGAAATTAGCGAGGCCTCTCTGTGTGGCACAAGAAGGCCATGAAGAGCATAGCCTGGGTGGAGCCTGTCATATTCCGGCAGCGCTCCGTTCCGTGCGTGGAAGGGGAACCTGGCAAGATCACATGTCCCTGCTCCTTATGGCCCTTCCCTTGCTGTGCCCATTTCAGCTTCCACCAAGGCGAAATCTCCCCCTTGCCAGCTGTCTCCACAAAACCAGCCCTAAATCACTGGACGTCAAAGAGTTTCAGGTAGTGTGTGGGTTGCCTGTTAAGACACAGGCCGGGCAATCCAGAAGAGAGACCACAAAGTCTCAGATAATGAAGTTTAAATTAGAAAATTGCCGTTCAGGTTTTGAAACTTCTCTGGTGGCAACTCAGGCATCACCAAAAGATGAGCAACGGGGTAATAAAACAAGCAGGAATCAATGCACCTGTTGGACCAAACTAGACTACCTTTGCTTCCAGGGTTCTTAATCCAAGCACTATCACACTGGGGTCAGTTCTACTTTCTCAATCCATTGCCCAGTTTGAGCAGCTCTTCCTCCTTCCTTTAAGACTTGAGGCTTTTCCTTCATTCTCCCTCTTGAGCTTCAGCTCTGCTTTTCTCTGCAAAGGCTTTTATCATCTAAAATTATTCTTTTCCTTCCCCAAGTCCTCCCAACCAAAAGCACAGTTTCCTTTCCATTTCTGCAGACTGAGATTCAATTTCCTGGCATGAAATCAGGCCTTTCCAACAGCTTCTTGCTTTTCTCCAGAAATGTTTAAACCACTGGCCCCCTGAGCACAGTGCCCCAACAGTCCTTATTCCTACGAAATCTTTGGCCTATCAACTATCAAACTTTGGGCTAAAATGATGAGCGCACTACCCTCGCACGAGATCTGCCCCTGTATGCTACACCAGCCAAAAAGCAAAGAGGAGGGCAATTCTTTCCCTGGTGCTGAAGCACAACAGAGCTTCCTGCTCCCATGTTCCCCAGCAGGGCAAAGCTGCAGGCGTCCATGCAGCACCCTGGGCACGACACCCTCGTCTGTCAGAGTGACATGCCTGGCCTTGCAGAAGGCTGCACCCTGCTGCTTACTGACGGCAACGTGGGCAGGGGAAGAAGGTGCGTCCCGTGTGGAGCGACAGAAATGTCAGTGCAGAGGCCCGCTTGCAGGGACGAAACGGCAGCTCCCCAGCGGCCCTTCTCCCGTTATATATTTAGAGTCTCAGGGAAACACGAAGCCAAACCTTCAGCTTGTCGCTGTTGTTCAGCAGCACGTTCCTTATCTCCTTGGAAACCATGTACAGCTGCCTCTTCTTCCCTTCCTGGGTGCGCGTTAACAAATTCATCTTGGGGAATGCCGGATCCAAGGCGTAGAAGGTCCTGGAAAGAGTGACATGCGTGCAGGTTCGAGCGGGGCCTTTGAAAGCTGTGCGTCCCGCAAGCAGCTCTGAACTTGGCTTGCAAAAGCAGCACTGGTCACTTATCACGAATCGGGCTCTTCTGTGTTAGAGGCACCCGGGACTGGGCGGTGAGGAGGAGGGGCAGGAAGCATGTGCTGGCAAGCCTGCACATCAGACCGAGTCCCCTTTAGTTCTACCGATTTCATTCCAGGAGGTTACAGAAGCGTTATAAAGGAAACTGCAAGCAGGCAGGCAGGAAGGACAGATGGAAGGGGCCCCTCTCCATCGCCCGACTAAAGCGATGGAGGGGCTAAAATGTGCGAAGAGAAAACAATTATGGTGCTTCCATGAGGCATGACAGTACTTGGGATCAGACTTGCAAAGTCTCCTCCCCCCCGCCCCGCAACATGTTTGGTACACACAGCCTGTTGTGGGGTTTTAAAAGGCTGCTTCCACGTCCAGCAGAGAAAGCAGGCGGTTGAACGGGCTGGAGAAAAGGAGAGGAAAGCCCTGTGGTTGTTTACATTCCTTGCATTGCAGCACAAGTTACATTTTATTCAACTTATGCTAACGTAAATGCAACACAGATTACACCTTTCTTCAACAAATAAAGCACTAAATTAGTATTTGAGAAGAGGAAAAGACGGAACAGAAAACACACTAGAATGGAGTGAAAGGGATGAGATGGACCCAGAAGGAGGGAGTGCTCCGTCCGGGACAAAAAGTCAGGAAGGACAGAGCCAAAGGGTGGTCAGCAATAAACACAAAATCCTCCAGCTTGCGAGTTCTGCCTTTACTGGAATTAAACCAAGTTTATCTATTTTGGATGCCTCGTTGTACTAAATTTGGAAATAGACATTTTCATGGCATTTATGAGCTTTTAATGAGAGAAGCAAAGGTTAAATATTTACATCTGAAGCAAAGGTATGTTTTAATTTAGTGGGCAATCAACTGCCTTCTTGTGAGTTCATGGTATGGACCCAAGAGCAGGAGGAGAAAATGGAAATCCTATTCCCAACACTTGGTCATTTATAGCCAAGTGGTAAACCTCCAGGTACCATCCACCTCCAGTGAACACTCACGCTAAAATCAGAGCATATACAGCAGCATTTAATTATCCTGCCTACAGGTATCCAAGGCAAATAATGCGTCAATTGGCCCATGATAAATGAATGAACCCAGAGTTTGCTGGGTTGCATGTTAGTTCCTCAGAAGAAATGGAGTAGCCTTCACAGTCAGTGAAAGAGTAGGAAAAGCAGTACTGGGATACCATCTCCAAAATGACAGAATGATCTCAGTTCGAATCCAAGGCAAACCATTCAACATCACAATAGTCCAAGTCTGTGCCCCAGCCACTGGTGCTGAAGAGGCTGAAGCTGACCAGTTCTATGAAGGCCTACAACACCTTCTAGAATTAACTCCAAAAAATATGTCCTTATCATCATGGGGGATTGGAATGCTGAAGTAGGAAGCCAAAAGATAACTGGAATAACAGGCAGGTTTGGCCTTGGAGTACAAATGAAGCAGGGCACAGGCTGGTAGAATTTTGTCAAGAGAATACGATGGTCATAGCAAACACTCTTTTCCAACAACCCAAGAGACGACTCTACACATGGACATCACCAGACGGTCAACACAGAAATCAGACTGACTATGTGCCCTGCAGCCAAAGATGGAGAAGCTCTATACAGTCAGTAAAAACTAGGCCAGGAGCCGACTGTGGCTCAGATCATGAG